GGGGTGGTGGTGGTGGTGGTGTGAAGATAACTTACCAAGCACACATCTCGTGATGTCACACTATTATGGTCTGAATTAATCAATACATTAGTAGGTTGTAGGTCATAGACTGAACTATAGGTTAATAAAACAGTGAGTGTAGCCCTAGTGACTCCACCTTTATGGTTCCCGTGTGAAACTGTTATATAAGCTGTTTTTAAAACGCATTTTAAACAATTCGTGTTTCTGTGCCTCATACATCTGCAGCTGCCTCGGGCCCGGGACGTTCAGCCCCAGCTGCCGCGGGCCAGGGGCGCTTGTCCGCCTGCTCTGCTCACCGCGTTCCGCAGCCCTCGTGTCCTGCTTGCTTGAAATTCGCAGATGCCACCGGACGTGGACGTGGTTTTTCCTTAAATCCTGGAGCCACACACAGCCTGGCGCACTTCTCCCAGAAGGCCCTTGGGCCTGGCAGACGCGTCCCTGGCCAGGAAACTACAGATAAAGTTCTTTGATTTGTTTGAGATTCGGACGTCGCCCGTGACAAGATGGGCCGAGCCTCTTGCTGTCCCAGGTTTAGAGTGGGGACGGAGGCCCAGGTTGGTTGTCACCTGACTAGTTGGCACTGGAACCCAGAGGCACCGCAGGCAGCAGCTCCAGACCCTGGTCCCCTCCCTCCACGTCCTTGGTCACCCTCCGTGTTCGCGGTCCCTCCTCGAGAAGGACGCTGAGGTCCCAGCCGCTGGAGCAGAGTGCCGGTCCCCCCAGGGCGCCTCTAAGGAGGGATCGTGGCTGACTGGCCGTGGTCCACGACACTCCCTGCTCCGAGGGGTCAGGCACGGCCAGCAGCAGGCGCTGGCCAGAATGGCACGTCCCCCATGGACCATGTCCAGCACACAGGCCCGTCACTGGCCACAGTTAAATTCTGGAAGATGCTGGAGGTGGCCTCGGTCAGGTTGGGCCTGACAACACGCCCTGGCCCTGGCCACGTCCCGCCCCGGGGAGAACAGAGGCCACACGGCGGTGGAGAACTGCGACAGCGGCCTTGCCCACTGAGCCGTCCCCAGGTCACTGCTGGAACCTCCCCCCCCCCCCCCCCCAGCCCCCTCCGCCGGCCAGCGCGGCCACCCCACTTCGCAGAGGAGCCAACCGGGCAGGGAGAGTCGAGCGGCTTCCTCAAGGCCATGTGGCCCTGGAGAGTGGAGCCATGATGCAGCCCAGGGAGGGCCACCTGGACCGAAGGGCCTCCATGTCCACGCCCACGTCCAGCCCACGGGCTCCTCTGCCAAGGGAAGCGCTGGCAGAGGCCACATGTCATGGTCCCTGCCTGCACACACACCCTCCCTGGCCCCTGCCGGTGCACATGTGGAGGACGGCACCCCAGGAAGGAGGTTCCATTGAGCGTCACAGAGGTCTGTCCACTTTCAGGAAGAGGCACTAGCTGGGAGAGGCTGACCTCATCCTGTGAGCCTGCTAAAAGCCAAGTGCTCTCTCCAGCTGGTCACAAGGGGACAATCGGAGGTTCCCAAAATGTGAAGGCCACCCATCATCATTGGTCTGAGAAAGGAAGGAGACCATGGAGCAGTCCTGGCTGACACCAGCAAGGACAGGGGACACGGGTTCCACAGCTTGGCCACCAACCAAAAGACCTGGGACAGACCACTGTGACAATATAACCTCCTCCCTGGTGCCCAGAGCCTTGGGAGGAGCGCAGCCTGGCCGGCACCCTGACCTCCCGCGCGGGCTGGGAGCTGGTCCTGGCTGGGCCGCGCCTCGGTTGGGAGATGCCGTGGCCCTGCCTCCGCTGGCCTGGTGACCGGCTGGCTCCTCAGGGTGCAGCAGTGTCTGGCATCTTGTAGAAGCTGCACTTCGAAGTTTAGATTTGGACCTTGGAGATGACCCGGGGCCTCGGGCAGGAGCGATGGATATTCCGCAGTGGACAGGCCGTTCTGCCCTGGCCCCTCTGTGCCCCTGCTGCCTCGTGTGGGTGTCGGACCCGGCAGGTGGGGGAGGCTACGGTCCTCGCTCTCCGGGTGGGGGAGCAACGGTCTTGGACTCAGGGTTTCTCCGAGTGCGGTGGGTGTCTCACGGTGTCCCTAGAAGCCAGCGGGCGTGTTGCTGTGCGGCTTCTGGGGGTCTGTGTCAGTGGCTGGGGCTCCTGAGACCCAGGTCTCCCTGGGGCAGGGGTGGGGGGCCCCATGTGGGCCCCTCACCCCCAAGGGCCACAGAGGAAGCAGCCTGAGACCTCCTGCTCCTGGGACAGGGAGGGACTCGCTGATCCACGGCAGCAGAGGCCACCCACGTCCCCCAGAGCCTTGTGGGGTCGACCACCAGGACATTCCTTCAACAACAGAGAAGGGAAGCTTCAAAGCAGCGGTGGGCCTGGCCTCGGTGTCCAGGGCCTGAGGATGGACAGGACACCAGCCCTGTGCCAGCACCATGGGGACCATAGTGTCCCAAATCCCTGTTCGTGTCCCAAACCCCAAGAGACCTGCTGGCACAAGGCAGGTGCAAAGTGGAGACTGTCCCCCCGGCACCTTGAGGGCCCTGGTGACGTGGTGCCGTGTGCTGGGCTGTCCTCAGGCCCACAGGACCATCCCCAGTGGCCCAGGCAGGGCCAAGAGCTGGGGCCCAGCCTTTGAGGGAGGGTGGCCTGGGGTGGGACTGGTAAGTGGAAGTCACCCCTCTCCAGGGCATCCTGGGAAACAGAGCAGAGAGGGCGGCCATTGCCCCAGCGAAGCTGCAGGCCTCCCCAAGTCCACGGCAGGCACAGGCAGTTCTGAAAGTCCTGAGGCAGAGTCTGGGCTCTAGCTGGGGCAGACTCGCTCCCCTCGGCCCGAAGCTTATCCCTCAGCCACCCCCAGCATCACTGAGCCCTCCGTGGGCAAGTGCAAAGGCCCTGGGGCCAGAAGGATGGAGCCCTTGGGGCCACTGGAGGGAGCACAGTGGGACTGGTGCACCAAGAGCCAGGGAGGCCTGTCCAGGGAGGCCCCGGGGATGGGCTCAGGGATTTCAAAGGTTCTGTGTGGAGACAGAGGCAGCAGTGAGGGCAGAGGCAGGGAGGGACACTGAGGTCCCCAGAGGAGGGGTGAGGTGGCCCTGCCAGGCACGACCATCTGGCCGCCTCCCACCCAGACCCCTGCCCGCTTGGCCAGACCCCCGCCCCTCCTGGAGGTCCCCGTCTTCCTCGGGGGTCCTCCGTGACCTGCTCAGGGGTACTCGGGAATCCTGTCCAGAGCCGAGGGGTCAGGGGAGGCTCTCCCTCCGGCTCCTCCAGGTCCATCCCACAGAAGGCGCAGGGAAGGCCACCTGGCGCCAGGTCCCACACGCCAGGCAGACCCTGAGAGAAAGCCCTGCAGCCGCTGGGGACGAGGAAGAGCCCAGAGAAGGAAGGCCACGCTGTCCCCCGACGCACCTCCTGGGGCGCAGCAGGACCCGGGGGGCACAGAAAGGGGTGAGCCCCGCCCGAGGTGCAGACGAAGGAAGCAAGTCCCCCAGCAAGTGGCCACTGCCATGACCATTTCAGAGGGAGAGAGACTGAGGCAGAGGTCCAGCAAGGTCCCCAAGGCCACCCGAGTCCCCAGTGGCAGACCCAAGCTCTAGTCCAGGCTGCGTCCCTCAAGGCCCCCGGTCCTGTCCTTGCACCTGGCCACCTGCTGGAGGCCCACAGCCACGGGACCCCACTCGGCACCCCTCCCTGCCTCCCCGGGAGCGGGGTCTGGAGGCGCTGGGGACACGCAGTCGCACTGTCGCCCGGCGCCCTGTGGGGGGTGAGCTTGGACCTGATTCGGCCCCTGCTGGGGTTCTGCCCAGTCCCCCCCTGGGATCGCAGCGGAGCCCGGAGCCGGGGCCTTATCCCAGCAGACAGGCGGCAGTCGGCAGGTGTCCACCCCAGTCCACCACGTTGAGACGACACAGTGACCACAGCAGGTCTGCCACCTAGGGGCCCAGGGCCAGGCTGGGCTGGGACAGGGCCATGTTCCTTGGGGGTTGAATCAAGGAGAGTCGGCCCCCTGCGACCCCCTCCCCGTGCCCAGCATCAGGCTCCATGCCCCAGGCAGCCAGCGGGAGGTGGCCTCCGTCGTGTGGGGTGGGGACCAGGTCCAGGCCAGGCTCCCCGGGGCATGTCCACGGGGCAGCAGGCGGGAGCTCCAGGGTGGGAAGGGAAGGCTCTGGTGGCCCGTGAGTGCGCCTGGTGTCCCTGGACCGCGCTGGCAGTGACGGGGACAGTGGCTGATGAGAGGTGCCTTTGGCTACTACGAGACCCCCGAGCAGGCTGCTCTCTGGGCCAGGGCTGCCCAGCAGCCGTGGAGCCCCGTCCCCTCACCCCGGGCGGGCGGGTGGCTGGGAGTGGGCTGCACGGCTGCCTGGGGGGCCAGGAAGTACGGCCCTCGGGGGGGCTGGAGCCACACCAGGAGCCGCCGGAGGGCAGCAGGCCTCCCGCAGTGCCCCTGCCGCCCGTCCAGGCTGCACGGCTCCCACCCCGTGCGCCACTCACCTGCCCAGGGTCTGGCTCCTGTCTCTCAGGCCACGGGAGAGGCTCCTCCGGGGGTGGCCTGCAGCCCCATGGACGCCTCACCCAGAGCCAGTGGCTGTGGACACCAGGCGGACCACTGGCCCTTCTGACCGGCCCTGGAGCCCCACTCCACCGCCGCCCCAGGACACTTTGGGCCACACGGTCAGCCCTGCCCCAGCTGGAGCCGAGAGGTGCAGCTGGGCCGGCCCTGAACTCCGCAGGCCCAGGCCAGCCACGACTCTCCCAGGAGACCCTCCTGCTGCTCAGAGGGTCAGGGGGCGTCCAGGAGCAGCTCTGGGGTGTGACCAGGAGAGAGCTCCTTCACTGCACCTGGGCCCGGGGGCAGCCGTGGGCCTGCAGAGGGTGAGGAAGTCCACGTGGACCTTTACCACATTTTTAAAACATAAAAGATGTACAGCACGGGATGAAGGCTTCTCAGACTCACGACAGCTCAGAGCACAGCAAGGGCCCATAGGAAGGGCAGCTTGCTTGGCTATGGAAGCAAGAACTGGGTGTTGGTGTCAGAAAGACCCAAACTGTATCCACTCAAGGAGTAAGTCTCCCCCATCCACTCTGACCCTCAGTCTCCTCCTCTGCAACAGGACAATATTTCAGCCACAGGAAAAGAGTAAAGCCACATTCATAAAGGGACCCGACACGCACGGCAGCTTCCGGGTCAACTCTAACACAGCCCTGTCCCGGCATCAGAAAGCAGAAAGAGCCACACTCAGACCAGGCCACTCTCTGCCATGCTGTGACCACGGGCAGCAGTGGTCAGACACATTGCCCCGGAGGAACACGAGCGTCCCCACCCCAGGTCAGCCCGCCTGAGAGCAAGGACTCTTTCCCACCCAGTTTCAGTCAGACAGAACAGGGCTGAACCCCTTGTGGGGAGGGAAGGGCCACCAGGAAGACCCTCCAAACAAGCGTCCCCACCTCTCCCTCGCATTCCAGCGGGGACGACCCGGAGCACCCAGCGCCCCTCTGAGCCGGAGCAAAGGGCCTTCCTGATCCGCCACTGGACCCTGGTCCTCCTGTCAGAGGTGTGTTGTGAGGGCCGCTCGGGTAGAAATGGGCATCCGACGGGGCAGCAGAGGAAGGCCGGTCAGCGCGAACCTGCGCGAGATGGTTTCCCGTGGATCTTGCCCTCGGGGGACCCGGGAAGGACAGGGCGCCCCGGGCCCAGCACAGCAGTGCAGCTGTGCTTGGTGACCAGCCCTGTCAACACACGGCCACTGACGGAGGGCTTCTCGTCGCAAGTGACTCAGCACAGAGGTGCCGTGTCACTGTTCACTCAGGTGACATGGAGAGATCGGCGAGGCTGTCCAGCTCAGGCAGCTGAGAAAGGCAGACCACCACCCACGTCCAGGGCCACTGGGAGCCCACGCTCCCCTGTCCATGACTGTCTGCTCCCAGAAGGGAAGCGCCAGTCCCTCTGGCCGGGCAGCTGCAGAGCAAGGATGCAAAGGATTTGCCCCAACCACCTGGTGCTCGTCATCCCCAGAACTGACCCAGCCTACGTGGCCCTGCTCTGGGACTTCAGGCCTGGACCCAGGAGTGTGAGGCAGTGTGGACGTGCAGGGACGTCAGTGGGTGGGCAGGTGGGCAGACAAGGACGTGGGGAGATGCCATGGACAGGGGACAATCGGAGGAGGCTCAGGGAACAGAGGGACCAGGGTGGGATGAAGGAACGGATGCTGTGGGCATGGGAGGGCGGGCGGGGAGTAGTGGGTGGACAGGTGGGTGGAGGGATGGATGGGTGGGTGGATGGATGAATGGATGTGTAGATGGATGGATGGATGGATAGCTAAATGGTAGCTGAGTAGATGAATGTATGTATGTATGCATGGATGTATGGATGGATGGATGGATGGAAGGATGGATGAGTAGATGGGTAGATGTATGGATGGATGGATGGATGGAAGGATGGATGAGTAGATGGGTAGATGTATGGATGGATGGATGGATAAGTGAGTGGATGGCTGGGTGGATGGCTGGGTGGATGTATGGATGGGTAGGTGGGTGGATGGATGGATGGGTGGATGGATGTGCAGGTGGGTGACTTGGGCGGATTGATGGTGGAGACTGTGGGGTTAGGGTATTATGGATTTTGTAATGGATGGAGGGATGGGTGGATGCAGATGGATCAGCAGGTCAGTGGATGGGCAGGTGCAGATAGATGGCCAGTGGTGGGCAGTGTTGCTGCCTGCTCAGGGCGCAAGAATCAGGCCCCTGACTGCAGGTCTGACTCCGGCTTCCCCAGCCAGGAGCAGGGAAGGGGAGGTGGGGGAGGGGGCTTGCTCCAGGGAGGACGGTCAGAGATGGGCCCTGAGAGGCCAGATCTTTCTTAAATGCTGCTAGTTTGCAATCCAGACTCTGTGAGGTAGAAGGGGCCATCGAGGCCTCTCTGGTCTCACGGCGAGGGACCTGCTAGGGAGAGTCCTTGGGAACCACCCACCAGGACCAATGCGAGGCCCCTTGGCCAGCCTCCCCCACTTGGCTCTGGCGCACCCTGCAACCCGAGCTCAGCACCCGGCTTCCCCTGACCTCGGGGCCAGGCAGTCGAGATGGGGAAGGATCGTGGGCACCAAGGAGGCCTGGAAGTGGCCATGCCAGCCTGGCCCTGTCACCCCAGGCGACAGGCCGTGACAGGGTTCCCATGAGGCAGCCATTTCCAGTCCTCCACGACTGTGAGACCCACTGCCCTCAGAGCCCAGGGGGCCCAGGAGCTCCGCCCCTGGGGGCAGCAGTGACAGCTGATGGCCATCTGGGCCAGTGCCCGCACGCCAGCCCTGGTGTTCGTGCCACGCCCCAGACTCTGAGACTCCCACCACCGGTGCTCAGTCAGTGTTGCTCGAGGGGAAGGGACGACCCCGTGTCCCGGAGCTCCTGCCCACGTGTCCCGAGTGCCTGCCGGAGGCCAGGTCCCGCGGGCAGGGGCTTGGGGCTCCCTGGCTCGTTCACCTCCTTCCTTGAGAGGATGCTCGTGGGCGACAGGGAGCTTGCTCCTGGTCACGCGGCTTCAAGTGACACAGGAAGTCCCCATCCCACAGCACCCAGACCAGAGATCAAGCAAAATAGCTTCAAATATCCAGGAACTGACAATCGCAGGCCCCTCGAGCACCTCACCCCGAGGCCCGTGTGCGCCTGGGCCCTGTGCCTCCCAGCGCCCCCAGAGGACAGCCCCCAGGCCCACGCGGCCACAGCTCATGGCACTTCTGCTGTAATACGGGTGGAGACCTGACAGCGTCTGCTGGCCAGCGCCCGGGGCACGCCTGAGTGTGTGGGCTCCCCGAGGGACACACAGGACTGGAGATCACAGACTCCAAGTCCAAGTGCCAGCTCTTCTCCTGCCAGCTGTGTGACTCGAGGCAAGTCACTTAACCTCTCTGGGTGTCAGTCTTCTATTCCGTGGAATAAAGATCTTAACATGAACTTGGATCTTCGCAAGGACTCAGCAGGGCCACGTTTGCCAAGTGTGGGGCGGAGTCTGGGCTCAGTGGGTGACCCGGGGCGGGACCCAGGCTCACCTGTGGGTGGCTGAGGCCTGCCCTCCTTGCCGCCAGCCTTTGGCCTGAGCGTGGGAACTGCCCTCTGCTGTGTTTGCCTTGGGCTGTGGGGGAGGGCTGTGGGGGAGGGCTGTGGGGGAACTGCAGGGGGGGCTGGGGGGGGGGGCTGCGGGGGGGTGTGGGGGGGGGCTGTGGGGGAACTGTGGGGGGGCTGTGGGGGAGGGCTTCGCCCTCGGGCCGCTCCGGCAGCTCCTGCCAGGTAGCGGGCTGGAAGGAGGAATAGTCCCTGACCCCTGCTTCCCTTCAGAGTGACTTGGCCCCACCCCACCCCTTCCCTGAAGGCCGGGCCGGCCATGGTCCCCCTCCAGGAAGCGGGCAGCTGGGCAGGGAGCACCCCAGCCTGCCAGGCCCCTTCCCTGCCCACCTCCCCACCATCCAACGGCCCTCCTTCCTCTCGGCCCCAGCACCCAGGGCGCGGCCCACGGCAGGGCTCGGACACTTGGCCAAGCCAGGCTCCTGGCCCAGGTGAGACCCCCCACGGGGGCCAGGCATCTCCCCCACCGGACTCCACCCTGCCTGCGGGGGTCTCCGGTGGGCCGCAGGGCACTAGCCGTGGGGCCACTTCTCCACTAAGCTGGGTCTCCACCTCGCGCCCTCCACGCCCTGGTCCCGTGGCTGAGGGGCCAGTTCTGCTCCCCCCGCAGCCCACGGCCCACCTCCCCTGCTTCACCCCAGGGCATGACCCTCTGGCCACCGAGGTGGCACCACTGGGGTTAAGGGCTGCTCAGATGGCAGAGCCTCCGCTTCCGATTTTCGGGAGATGCCGATTACTAATGACCATTGTTCTTTCCTTCTGGGGCATGACAACAGCCGTCCCCTCACAACCGGAAGAGCGGCAGGTCGCGGTTCCCAGAGTATGAAATGTCAGCCTCCGGCGGCGGGCGGCAAGGACACTGGACCAGCAGTGCTAAAAATAGACTCGAGGACTGAGTGTCCAGCCCCGGGAGGCGCTGGGCCCAGGCGAGCCAGGGGCGTCCAGCCTGGGCTGGCCCCTTTCTCTTTCTTTACAGATAAAATGGAAGGAAGCTGACAGGTCAGCCCCGAGGACTCGCCGTCTTAGACGTGGAACTCAGTGGGACCGCAGACAGAGCCCGTCTGCAGGGACCTCTGACCACGCGCAAGTCCCTGGGGTCTGGCAGTACAGCCTGCGGTGCCCCCTGTCCGCCCCCTCCCCAGGGACTGGCCCTGCAGCCTGCCGAGGCTGGCACCGCCCAGAGCTTGTGCCACGACGGAGAAGCTTTGTACCTGCTACGTCCACTCCAGTACCCACCAGCCACGTGCAGCCAGAGGGCGTTTGAAGAGCGACACCGCGATCGGCGCCCGCGGTACGCGCTCTTTCGTGTTAACAGATTTAGACTGAAATGGCCATATCTGAATGGTGGCTAGTGGCTACTGGTGTTGGACAGCTTCACGTCCGGCCCAGGGGGAGAGAGCAGCGACGGACTGACAGCCTCTGCCACACTTGGGGTGAGACGGGCAAACCTGAAGGCCACGCTCCTCAGTGACCAGGGGACGGGTGGCATCCCAGGACCTGAGGCCTAATCAGTGACCCTGGGTCCGCCCAGTCTCAGCGTTTAGGAGAAAGCGTGTCTGTGCAGTTTAAGGGGAGTCCCTGCTGTCCAGGCTCATGGCCTTGGCTCAGCAACCAGAGAGCGTCCAAAACCCCACACCAGCCCAGCCACCAGGGCCTCCTCTCCGCCCGGCCTCCCTGGCCTCATCCACTTCACTCTGCCCTCCACTCCAGGGTGGACCCTGCCCCACCCCTGGAGGCCCTGAAAGCAAGGGCCACCTCTGACTCCATTTCGGCATCCCCCACCCAAAGCCAGCCCCCGCCGGCCCCCGGGGAAGCCCATGTGATTCCAGTGTGTATCTTCCCACCGTGGCCACCATGATGAGACAGATGCCATTGTCACGCCAGTTCCCAGGTGAGGACTGAGACGCAGAGGGGCGGGGAGTGGGGAGCTTTGGCCAAGGGCAGAAAAGAAAATGGCAGGTGTGAGACTCGGATCTGGGAATATGTCCCTCCCAGGACTTGTTCAGCCAATGGAAGTCAAGTCCACTGTGTCCTTCATTGCAAACTCAATAAATGTTAGGTGACAGATGGAAAAGTGAGTGGAAGGGTGGGTGGGTGGGTGGTGGGTAGATGGATGGTCAATGGATGATAGATGGTGGGTGGGTGGTTGGGTGGATGGATGGAGGGATGGTTGGGTGGATGGATGGAGGGATGGTTGGGTGGGTGGATGGATGGATGGTTGGGTGGATGGATGGAGGGATGGTTGGGTGGATGGGTGGATGAATGATTAGATGGTCAGTAGATGATAGATGGTGGATGGGTAGAGGATGAGTGGGTGGCTGAATGAATGGATGGGTGGGTGGATGGACAGGTGGGTGGACGAATGAATGGTTTGGTGGATAGGTGGGTGGTGGGTGGATGGATGGTCAGTGGATGATAGATGGTGAATGGGTAGAGGACGGGTGGGTGGGTAGGTGGACGGTTGTTGGATGATGGGTAGCAGATGGCAGATGGGTAGAGGACGGGTGGGTGGGTGGGTGAGGGTTGGCTGCTGGGTGGGTTGATGGGGGAAGGGCCTAACATGCCTGAAGAAAAAGACAACCAAGTTCCAGAGGAGGTGCGTGAGAGGTCACGGCCAGTGGCGGGTGGCCGAGCTGATAGCCCAGTTTCTCCTAACCATTCTCCAGGTATATCAAAAACCAGGTCATTCAAAGGGCTCTTTGAGGCTTTTGTTTTTAAAGAGATAAAGGTGGTAAGCTGTGGAGGAAGCCCTGGGCTGTGGGAGGCCGCTTCCTCTCCTCCCCACGGCCCCCCTCCTGCTGGCCGCTGGGCCCCTCCCCGAGGCCACTTTCCCATGGGAAGGCTGAGGAACAATGGCGAGTTCTTCTAAGGGACTCTCCCCCCCGCCACGGGGCACACGGTGAGCCAGCCGGAGGACTGGGCTGCGATTACATAAGCAGGACATACCTGGGCCAGGCGCTGCGCCAGGGGATTTTAACAGCAGGGGAGGCGCGGCCAGGCCGGGGCAGGAACAGCCAGGTTGCTGGGAGGGAGGACATCCAGAGTCCCTCTCTGAGGCTGTTCCCGCTCTGATGCTCCCTGTGAGCTCCTCAGCCGTGCTCTGGTGGGTGCTCGAGTCCCATTCCCCCAGAGACTCAAAATGGAGAGTGAGACTCCCGCGGCCACCTGGGGCAGCTGGGGATGAGTGGACGGAGGCCAGCTGCACACAACCCCTGCTCCTTCTTCCTCCCCCTCCTTCCCTGTCCCTTCTCCTCCTCCTTCGTCCCAGGCCACGTGCCCACTGATGGTTTGGGTTGTCCACCTGTCACCTGCCCGTGCCCACAGGTCCCCTCCCTCGGTGCAGGACGGACGCCACAGAGGCGTCAAGGACAACAGTCGAGGCCACTGAGCGTGGGAGTCTGTCCTCGTGGGGAGGGGTGTGGAGGTGCCCTCTGTGGCGCCACGTGGTTGAAGGACTCTGGTGTGCAGACCTTCCTACGCGTGGGGACACGGAGGAGCACACCAGCTGTCCTCTCCTTTCCTGAGATGGCCCAGGCTCAGGGCCACTCCCTGCTGAGGCAGAGGGGACTGAGGTCCTGGGGCTGAGTGCAGTCCCTGGGGGCCTGGCCTTTGGGGTTCAGGTCCGGAGGGCACAGCCTCGAGCTGACCTGAGCTGGGCACCCAGGAGCCTGGGCCAGGAGGAGGACCTCAGCCCAGAGCGGTGGCCTCAGCCTCCTCTGTGACCTGGGACAGGCCCCTCTCCTCTCGGGGCCCAGTCTCCCATCTGTAAGGGGAAGCCGCGGGACGGGACGTGTGTCCATCCAGGTGTGTTCAACAGGTAGCCCCGGACTTTCCAAAGGGTCCCTGAGAGCCAGGGCACGTGGCAGGTGGGGGGTGGCAGGATCCTGGGCCTTCTGGGGGCCCCGTGGGGTATCACCCCGGGGCAAGCAGCAAGGTGCCTCTGACCGCTGAGCACCCAGGAGCTGCCAAGCGCCACGCGGCCATTACATAACCGCCTGCCTGCCACCATGGGCCACCGGGTTGCCACGTAAATCGAGCCTGTATTTACCCACCGAGGGGAAGGGACAGGCGGCCAGGTGGATGGGGAGGGATGGCCAGCGGCTCTGATTCCTGTCACGCTCCGAGTGCACACATCCTGTGCCCGCAGCGGGTGTGGGCGGGGCGCGCCCGCAGAGGGGCCGGGGAAGCTGCGTCCTGGGAGCGTCCAGGCCTCGGGTGGCAGCGGCAGGGCGGGGGCGGGGCGCCCTCGCAGGAAGCCGGAGGCTGAGCCGCCTCATCTGGGCGGCAAGAACCTGAGGCCGCGGAGGCCTGCCAGCTGCGGGTGCCAGTCCCCTGCACGGGATGGACGAGTGGCCATCCGACAGCCGGGCTCCGGCCGGAGGCTGCAGGGGCACCCCGGGGACAGCCCTGCCTGCAGCAGTCATCCCGCAGGGGCTCCTCACTGAGAGCCACTAGGTCCCCGGCAGCCACTGGGGCTTTACCTCGAGTCCCCAGAGCAGCCCAGATGTTCTGCTTCAGGAGAACCTGGGAGGACAGGGACCAGAGGTGGCCTGTGAGCAGACTGACCAGTGCGTGGACCACAGGGACCCGGTGAACAGCCAGCGAGCGGACGCAGAGCCCGGTGGGTGAGTGGAGGGGTCATGGACACGGGGAGGGCCGCTGGACGGACGGTGGGCGGATGGGCCTTTGGATGGACGGGCTAATGAACCACTATGGACGTGTGAGCAAAGGGGTGGGTGGACCCTGCACCTGTGGACAGGTGGGAGTCAGCACAGGCGGCCAGAGAGTGGAAGGACAGAGGCCGGACGGGCGGACAGAGGAGGCCGGACGGGCCAGTGGGCAGGAAAGCCAAGTTGAGGTCCGACTCTGCGGTGCTGCCTGGTGACCATCGGGCCACATCAGCAGCCGACCCTGCGGCAGGTGGACATCACAGTGGGGACCGAGTGCAGCCCTGGCCACGGTGGGGAGGCCCCTCTCCTACACCCGCTGTGTTAAGTCCCAGAAGAAGCCAAGGAGAGCCCTGGCTTGGGGACGTCCCAGCCCTGACAGGGGCCTGCGGCCTATCCAGGGAGGGCTGCTGCCCGTCTCAGGGCTCTGCTGCAGGTGGGCACCTGCTGTGACCCAGGAGGACCTGGACCTGGCCGCGGTCCCCGCTGCTCTCCTCAGGCCCCAGGCCTCTCTGGGTCCACTGGCTGGGACCATCTCCAGGGGCCTTCTGGCTCCGGCCACTGGAGATTCCAGCTGAGCCTGGCCCCGCAGCCTGGACGGGAGGGAGCTGGCCAGAGGACGCTGGGTTTGTCCAGGCTCCTGATGTCACCTGGCCAGGGCGTCCTCTTGGATGTGAGCTTGGCCAAAGCCTCTGTCCCCGGGGTCATGTTCCCATCAATGATCCCGAGCGCCTGTTGGAAGATGGCCTGAGTTGGGGGGAGCTGGGGGGCAGACATGCCCCAGAGCTGGGGGCAGCAGCAGGTGGCCCCCAGCCTGGGGTGGGAGGAGAGGGGCAGGGGAACCTGCGTCCCCTCTCCAGGATGAAGGCCCGGGATGCTGGCACCACCTCAGGGCCCACACGAAGCCATGCTGCCCCAGAGGCCCGGGAGGCCCAGAGGGAGGAGGAAGCGGGAGGCTGGGCTGTCCGTTCCCAGCATGCCCTGCTGGGCCTGCCCCCCGCCACGGAGCGGCCATCACCCCCGGGAGGCGACCCGCAGGCCCTGGACCGTGTGGATCTCAGCAGCACATGAGCTGGGCCAGTGTTCCCGCGCCAGCGGCTGCCCATGAGGTCCCGGGCCAGGGCTCCCAGCCCCCTGGCCCCCCTGAGGTCCTAGTGCCCCCATTCCATGCTGCCCACCCAGGTAGCCCACCATGACCCGTCACAGGGCAGGCCAGGGCCTCCCGCTGCCCGCCCCACCGTGTGGAGAGCGGCTTCGGGTCCCACAGAGGCCGTGAGCCAGCCAGGTCCCCACGCCACTCTTCCAGAAGTTTCTGGGGTCACATGAGGACAGGACGTTGGGGCCAGGGTGGGCCTGGCAGGGGACCCTTCTCACCCCCAGTCCTCTGTGAAGACCCCCCTGGGCCTGAGATTCCATCTCTCCCTGAGCGCTTTCTGAGCCCCAGTATCAGACTCAGTCTTTCCACCTGGAAAAGAGATAAAAATGTCCACATTTTAGAGACGAGGAAACCGGCTCAGAGAGGTTTAGTGACTTGCCCAAGGTCACAGAGTGAAGTGGAAGAGCTAGACTTCAAACCCAGAACTGGCCTCTCAGGAGCTGAGTAAATGAAAGGACAAAGGGAGGAAGACTGAGACCCACCTCAGGGCAGGACGGCAGGGCCCCTCCCGCCCAGATAGCCCAGGACGCCTGCTGCTCACTTCTAGACACGGCTGAGCCACCACCTCCAGCTGGCCCCAGGAGGAATCCAGTTCCCGTCCCAGGAGCCACCCACAGGGCCCCAAGGCATTTCTTAGCCCTCCCAGCCTGCCCACCCCAGCCTTGCTCCAGCCTCCCTCTCTGGCCTCCCTGAACCTCCCTGCCCTGGCCTTACCGCCTGGACCCTGTCCAGGTTGCTGCAGCTCCTGGCTGGTGTGGCCACTCATCTCCGCTCGGTCCCGGGGCCATTCCCAGCTCTGAAGCTGAAGCATGGGAGGCCGCTCTCTGTCCTGGCCTCCTTCCGGCCTCCTCCGCACGTGACCATTGCCAGGACCCAGGGCCCTCCCCGCTTTACCCCCTCTGCTCCCTTCCTGAAGGACGAGGCCCCTGCCCACGCCGTCCCGGGGTCAGCGGCGGAGGTGAGGCCCCTCTGCTGCTGGCGGAGACTCAGGACCTGAGGACAGGCCAGTGCGGAGGAGGCACCCCTCTGGGAGGCCCACTGTCCTCCTTCCCACGACAGAGAGAACAGACGCTCATCTCCCAGAGCCTGGGGGACCCGGGTGTCCCTGCCCTGGGAGGCCCCAGGCACGTGGAGAAGGGGAAGATGGAGGCCACGCGGGAGGCGGGGCCATTGGCCGCTCTGAACCGACAGGAATCACAGTCCAGCGAGGAGTCGGGGGGCCTGGGAAGTGACGGTCCTCCCCCAGGCCTC